ACGGATGCGCGAAACTTTTGGCGACCACATTATTCTACAAGGATGCCTTTGGCAGTGCTCATTCAACTCCCGCCCAGCTGCTCGAAAGCGTCGACGGCGACGTCGGGACTACGTGAGCTATTTCCAGCTCCCTAAAAAGAAGACGTCAGCCAACTGCCCGGGTTAATGTTATCTTCCGGTACTGGCAGAATTGCCTGAGGGAGACCATGCCGGCGACAGAGCTTGCCGACAAAGGACGGGGCGTTGACCCGCCAGGAAGGAGGAGCGACGGCGACGAACTCACAGCCAAGAGCTTCGTGCTTTGGCTGTCCGAGTATTCCTTTATCGGCCTTGGCAGAAAGACAGTCACGCTGGCGTACGGTTGCAATGAGGGGGCGGCCCTGTGCAGCAGGTGCAGGTGCAAGGACAGAAAGTGCTCGCTCGCTTGCGGCTACAGAAGAAGTCGTTGCACCCTACGTCGGGCGGCACCGACACCCGTGCGAACGGGGGGGAGGACTATGTCCGGGCCTACGGTCGGTGCTCCTCAAACTGGGCCGATCAAGGGTCGTACCGCCCGACCCCAACCACCCGCTGAGACTCGACTGCAGCCATCCTCGCGTTTTGCCAATGCAAGGCACTCTTTCTTGCCTCGAGGAAGCAGCAGGAATTGAACGTAGCGGAACGTAATGACGTGGAGACAGGGACCCTCGAGTCACCTCCGAGCAACAAAGTTTCCTCCGGGGAGGCCGCGGAATCGAAGAACGAAGAGCTGGAGGACCCCTTGTCGGACGAGATCGGCAAGAACGGCAGCAATCCGATCGTTTCACTTGACTTTTTGATGACGTGGAATTCGGGTGGGTCTGGCTCCAGCGGTGAGGAATCTGACGGGTGGAGCGACGAGAAGGGCGTCGACCCGGTGTGGAGTGACGGAGACACAGATGATTGTGTTGCGAGTCTCGCTAACGACGTCTGGAACTGAGATTTGGCTACATGTACTTCTTCTTCAGGCACGTGCATGTAGCATTCCTTGAGGGACTTGGCTTGGGGTTGGGGGTGTCGTAACGGGCATTCTTGCACGTCAGATCTCCTCATCGTAACAAAACATCTGAAACCGGCGCTGCCTTTCTCTTGCTCTAAACTGTTGTTGTTGTTGTTGTTGTTGTTGTTGTTGTGCAAGTTGACGATCAACGCCGGGGGCGGCAGCTGCCCGCTCTCTTGTGTTTGCTCGATTTTTTGTCGCTGAGCGGGTCGAAGCGTTTTCGAGCTCACGCTCCCAAACGTTACGCACCTTTGCCTTGGTTCCTCCACCATTTTTTTTGTGCAGCTGTGCGGCGTGCGGCACGGTCACCCTACACAGTCTGCAAGCTCAATTCTGCGGAGTCTCTACGTCCGGCCGCCCAACCCGGCACAGGGCCCATAGGAAGGGCCAAAAAAGTGAAAAACGACGCAATTTTTTTGGTCAACAGCACATCCCGAGATGAAAAATGACCCCGAGACCATGAAAAACGACGACCTGTGATTGGGCACAAGCACCCGAAATGGGCCGCTGCCGCCGAGACACATGACAACACATGATGACAGCACCCGACACAGACCACAACGGAAAGCACAACAGCCCTCCCACAGCAACCGTGGAGCCAGCGCTCCNCTAGAAGCGCGCCATCCGCCGGCGATGTCGACGTTAGTGGGGGTTCTGGTGGTTCATCAAGCACGGCGGCACCAACCATAGGCGAGTCCACTCCACCTCCCGCCGGTACACAACAACAGTCGCCTCCTCGCTTGGACGATGAGGGTGACCACTCTCGCGTAGATGGAGAAGAGGCTCGGGCACCCCCATTCTTAACCGTAGGAGAAGGATCCGCAGCAGCACCACCAGAGCTCGTAACAACAACAACAACAACAACAACAGCAGCAGCAGCAGCAGCAACAGCAGCAGCAGCAGCAGCAGCAGCAGCAGCAGCAGCAGCAGTGGCGGCGGTACCCGTCCCGCACCCTCCCAGCAATGGCAAGGGTAAAGCCCGTGCTCATGAAGCCTCCCAAGCTCGCGGGGGGGCAGCTCCAGCAGAGCTATCCTCTCAAATAGGTGAGGGGTCAGTACCAGCGTCAACAGCACCGGCAATATCAGCGGCACCAGAGGCCGCAACAGGGCAGCAACACCGGCACAACTCGCAGCAGCAGCAGCGGAAGTAGCCGCCGCCGCGGGGGCGGCAGCGGCGAGACCAGCAGCAAGCGGAGGTCACGACCGCGGGGCGCGCCAACAAGGACGAGGAGGGGGGCTGAGCGGCCG